TAAGGCCATATATAATCCACTGCATCTTAAAAAGCAGAGACATCACCTTGCCAACAAAGGTCTGTATAGTTAAAGCTATGATTTTCCCAGTAGTGATATATGGAAGTGAGAGCTGGACCATAAAGAAGGCTGATCGCCAAAGAATTGATACTTTTGAATTATGGTGCTGGAGGAGACTCTGGAGAGTCCCATGGACTGCAAGAAGATCAAACCTATCCATTCTGAAGGAAATCAGCCCTGAGTGCTCACTGGAAGGACAGATCCTGAAGCTGAGGCTCCAATACTTTGGCCACCTCATGAGAAGAGAAGACTCCCTGGAAAAGACCCTGATGTTGGGGAAGATGGAGGGCACAAGGAGAAGGGGACGACAGAGGACGAGATGGTTGGACCGTGTTCTCGAAGCTACCAGCATGAGTTTGACCAAGCTGCGGGAGGCAGTGGAAGACAGGAGTGCCTGGCGTGCTCTGGTCCATGGGGTCACGAAGGGTCGGACATGACTAAACGACTAAACAACAACATAATCCACTGCCTGGGCAAAGTGAACACTTGGTCTTGTCTAACCATAGAACCCCTTTCCAAAGAGACTGAAATGTGGCTTCTATGTGTTCTTATCTTCCATAGGCAACTTGTGCCCATTCATTCCCTTACTTTGTGTACACACATTGTATGATTGTGGTTACAAGCATTAGGGAACTTCAAGCTACTGTTCTTTACAACCAAACACCCTGACTTCTGCTTGGTTTTCCTTGTAAGACAGGCACTTATGTTCTTGGAAAAGCGCTTCCTCTTTGTGCTGTTCGTAACCACTGAGCTCTACCAGTAATGGCCAGTTGCGTAACAGCTGTATGGGAACAAGGCCCATATTTTTCTTAGGGATTTAAGTGAATCACATCATTTTTGGGGATGCGGGTGGCGCTGTGGTCTAAACCAGTGTTTCCCAACCACTGTTCCGCGGCACACTAGTGTGCCGCGAGATGTTGCCTGGTGTGCCGCGGGAAAAATTAAAAAATTCGAAAGATAGCTTCATATCCGGAGAGGCGGCCTTCAGGCGAGTTTTAATTTTAATTTTCCTTCTCCCACTTAATGCCCCACGCTCGCCCGAGCAGCTTGCAGTCCTCGGTAACCACGGCGACCCGAGGGAGGGGAGGGAACAGGGAAGTCGAGGGCGGCGGCGAGCCGCGATGACGTCAGTGGGCTGCGCCGCCTCGCCCTGGCACGGTGTGAGAGCCCCGGCTAGTGGCGCGAGCTTCGGAATAAGTGGGATCCACGTGCGCGAGACCGAGATCGCGGGTAAGGAGCTCAGCCCTGGGCAGGAGGAAGCGGGGCCGCGTGTGCGGGCCACATCCCCACAGAGAGCGAGCCTCCCCCGGCCCACCACTCCGGGCAGGTCAACTCGCATGAGGGGGCGGCGATGGCGACGGCCGGCAGCTTGCCTGCAATGCCATCCCTCGAGCAGGCGAGGAGCCCGGAGGCTACCAGATGCGAGTCCTCTTTCCCACCCTGCTCGGGAGTCCAGAGCACTTGGTCGCATTCAGGATCTAGAGTGGGGAAGCGGGGCTTGTGTCTGGGCTGGACACATTGGGCTGCCTGTGCCGCTCGACCTGCGGGGAGAAATCAGGGTGGGAGTCACGACCGTGAGGCAGGGCTGCCAAGTGTGGCAGAAGAGGAAACGGCCGTCGCACCTGTCCTTAGGTAGGAGCTTCTTCCGTGTCGACCTGCTGCCCTAAAGTCTTGGCTTTTTTCTTGGCTTTTTGGCGGTTGGCACAGAAGGAAGGCAAGGGGGAGGGGAAAAAATTGAAACTTACACTTTCGTGCGTCCCTCCCGGCGTGACGCTGCGCGCTGACGTCACGGGGCTGTAATGGTGGTGTGCCTCGAGATTTTTTTCATGAAACAAGTGTGCCTTTGCCCAAAAAAGGTTGGGAAACACTGGTCTAAACCACTGAGCCAGGGCCAGATTTGTAGGTTTGATGAGGCCCTAAGCTACTGAAGGTAATGGGGCCCTCTATATGTCCAGCTGTCCTTTGTCAACAACAAATTGTTGCTGTTTTTTGTGTTGAATACAGCGGTACCTTGGGTTAAGTACTTAATTCGTTCCGGAGGTCCATTCTTAACCTGAAACTGTTTTTTTTTTCTTATATTAAATTTTTTATTAAATTTTCCAACATACATTTATAGTATCCAATCTAAATTTATCACATATTTTCTCTTTTAGACTTCCTTCAACCTCTCTGACAATCATCCATTATTCAAATTTTTAAATACGCATTTCCTAATTTTATATTGCATTTTATAAACCTTCACACACTTAAGTTTTCATCAGTGCAATAGTCCTCTATCATTTACAGAACTTCTTGAAATCCCACTAACCTGAAACTGTTCTTAACCTGAAGCACCACTTTAGCTAATGGGGCCTCCTGCTGCTGCCACACCGCCGGAGCACGATTTCTGTTCTCATCCTGAAGCAAAGTTCTTAACCTGAAGCACTATTTCTAGGTTAGTTGAGTCTGTAACCTGAAGCGTATGTAACCTGAAGCGTATGTAACCCGAGGTACCACTGTATATGCTATATGATAATTTATGGAGCTAATAGGTATTTAAAGTCATTTGCAAATAACAAATAGGAGCCTACACATCACAAAACACTGTTGCTGTTTTGTAGGTTTTATTTTATTTGTTTTTTATCTTATATTTTGGAAATGTACAACCAGGTTTTATTTTCTTTTAATTTTTTTTCGGGGCCCCAAGAGAGTGGGACCCTAAGCTATAGTTTGTTCAGCTTATACATAAATCCAGCATTGCACTGAGCCTCTTGGGCTTGCTGATCAGAAGGTTGGCAGTTCGAATCCCTGCGATGGGATAAGCTCCCATTGCTCTGTCCCAGCTCCTGCCAACCTAGCAGTTTGAAAGCACACCAGTGCAAGTAGATAAATAGGTACTGCTGTGGCAGGAAGGTAAACAGCATTTTTGTGTGCTCTGGTTTCTGTCACGGTGTTCCATTGTGCCAGAAGTGGTTTAGTCATGCTGGAAATGCTGTCTGTGGACAAACGTCATCTCCCTCGGCCTGAAAGCAAGATGAGCGCCGCAACCCCATAGTCACCTTTGACTGGACTTAACTGTCCAGGGGTCCTTTACCTATTTACCTTTTACCTTCACATCTTCTTCAGGAAGGAAAGCATAATTAGAAAATGCAGCTTCTTATCAAGCCAGCAGAAAGATAGCAAAAAATTACAAGTTGTATTAATTGAGGCAAAGGCTGTTGTTACATCATAGAAGTGATACTCTTGCACAGTATCCGCTTCCATATAATCAGGTTTCTTCGGAAGCCTAGAAACTGGTTTGAAACTGTGATCTTGTTTTGCAGAATAATAATATAGAAACACATTGTTTTGTTTTGTACAGGTTCATAGAGGTTCTTCCGTGCTCATGTTATTCATCTTTCCAAGTCATTTCTCAGGAACAATATTGTCAAGGAACTTAAAAGCGTGGGCTGAACCTCACAGAAATCTTGCTGTGCATTTCTGCTCAGAAGTGAGTACCATTGAATTTAATGGGTGAGGAAAACGCACTGGCCAACTGGCAGACATCTCAGGTGACAGTGGTGAGCCTTCCGACTGCCTGTGACCTTCACATGTCCATCTCCACACCCCTCAGCCTCACGGCTCCCTGCAATGACCCTGCCTTTTCTCCCCTGTTGCCCCTCAGCCTCCGAGATACCATCCCTATTGATTCCTTCACAAATCCCTCCTTGAAACCCACCTTTCCCACGAAGGTTTTGCTGCAATCTCTTTAATTTACACCACTGGTATCAGTGCCGTTTTAAATTGCTATAGTTCCGACGAGCTTATTGCATTTTGTAAATGTGGATGTTTCAATGAAGTTGTTTTACCCTGTGTTTTAATTATGTGTGAAGACTTTTTTTTTTTGTAAATTGGATTTATATTTATTTGTAAGTTGCTGAAGTCGCAGCCACATCACAGACTCTTCAAGTGTCCCTATTTTCCAGGAACATCCCTGATTTAGAGAAGCCGTTCCAGTTTCTGATTTGATCCCGGAATGTCCCACTTTTCCTTAGGATGTCCCTATTTTTATTGGAGAAATGTTGGGAGGGTATGGAGTTATCTGACCCCTGAGCCATCTGGAGGCAATCTTGTATAGGAGTTTTTTAATGTTTTATTATGTTTTTATACATGTTGGAACAGGGTGGATTTGATTCAAATCAAATCAATTTAAATCATTAGTCAGTAAGATTTGATTTAAATCATTTTTTTATAGAAAGACTCATTTTTGCTGGTATAATCTTAATATTTACAACCAGATGAAGGTTTCATTTTTGGAATAAAAAATTTTCAGAGTAGTTTTTACAGTTCTATAAAAAGTTACTGATGAGGTTATACTATTAGAAATACATAGACAGATAATTATGAAATTATTGTGAGGTTTAATAAATTAACTGTTTATATTTGGACAACTTTTCTGCCAGACTTTTTTGGAAAGAGAACAATCATTTCCTTAATAACAATTTAAACAATTTATTTAACTAAAACAATAACATTATAGCATATGTATGCATGTTTGTTAACTGATGCGGTTAAATGATTTAAAAAACAACAACAACTTAGACTGAGTTTTAGCACACATGAAAAACTTAAAACAAATCCTTATTTCCTGATGAATAGCCTTTGGACTATAATGTAACTTAAACAGAAAACTATCTTTAGAAAGATTTTTTCCTCCAAAAGAATTTTTTTTAAAAAATCTGATTTAAATTTTTTTAAAAATCCAATTTAAATAAAAAAAATCTGTTTAAAATAAATTTAAAAATCTGATTTTTTGGATTTTTTTTTTTTAAATCATTGGTTTTTATCCAACCTGTGTTGGAAGCTACCAAAAGAATTTTATTTTAAAAATCCGATTTATTTTTTTAAAAAATCCAATTTAAATAAAAAATCTGTTTAAAATAAATTTAAAAATCTGATTTTTTGGATCTTTTTTTTTAAAAAAAAATCATTGGTTTTTATCCAACCTGTTGTTTTCAGACCAAGTGGTTCCACTTGCAGAAGTGTCCCCTTAAGTCCAAAATCTTCAAATCATCTTTAGCATCTTATTTTTATATACTTTATTTTTGATAGGGCCTTATGGGCCATGTGTTGTATTTGCGAAGAAACTGCATTTGTAGCCCTCTGTTCCACTGAAGGCTCATTAGCCTTGTTTCAATTATTCTGCTGAGAACCTCTGGTTTACTCCACTGTCTAACATATTAGCTTCGGAAAATATTCTTCAGAGGTTTCCCTGCCAAAGATCCGCTTCAGAACACTGGAGTGACCTGTGGCTTTGACGCACATTGACAAAGATGGATGAACGGTTTGGCTACTTCCAACAGGAAACTGAAAGAACAGTAGTTAAAGAGTAATAGTACAATTGAAAGCCTCTTGTTCGTGACGAGATGTGGATTAATGAATGCAGTGGACCTTGATTTGACAGACATGGAGATATTGGAGCTGCTTTTCCCCTCCTAAAACAAATGAAAATATCAGCAGAATATCCCTCTGCTACTACCAGCTCTCATCCACCTGCATGTTATCCTGGCTGCGACAAGGATATAATTTTATGAAGAAATAATCTAAATAATAATTGTGATCATTAAAGCCTCAACTTTCATGAGCAAAATTACATGTTGCAAAATTTGGAAATTCTGCATTTTTTTTTTAGAATTCACTACTTTGAAGAAGAGATTTGACCTCAAAATATAATATTGAAATTGGACATTAAAAATAAATAGATGTGATTGATTGATTGATTGATTGATTGGATGAATGAATGAATGGTTGAATGAATGAACAAATGAATGAACGAGGCACTAGTTTAGCCTCTAAACAGTCCTGCGATGTCCGTGAGGCTCTGATACAGCGATTGTTTCCACATAAGGGCCCTTTGGAGCAGCTGGGATCTTGTCTTCCTGTAAATGGCTGGAAACAGAATTAAAACAGTGGTTATACACAGCAATATAAAGCTATACTATCAAGCAATGCCCATCCTGATGGCCAACATGATTTTATTCATAAGGAAGTTTCCTTCAACTGATGTCCTTTGCAACTTCAGTTAGAAACTTCCTCCTTGCAGCTTTGCTTCCTGTCAATTGCAGCCCCACCACTGCAGATGAAATACTGATGAATTGCCACAGTATTGCAACAAAATTAGTTCATTCCATTTCCCAGCTGTGGGGTGCAATTATTGGTTTCTACTCATGAATTTTGCTTCTTTCCTTTGTTTTAGTATGAAATAACACTAGTCACTAGCAGAGACATCACCTTGCCAATAAAGGTCCGTATAGTTAAAGCCATGGTTTTCCCAGTAGTGATGTATGGAAGTGAGAGCTGGACCATAAAGAAGGCTGTTCGCCGAAGAATTGATGCTTTTGAATTATGGTGCTGGAGAAGACTCTTGAGAGTCCCATGGACTGCAAGAAGATCAAACGCATCCATTCTTAAGGAAATCAGCCCTGAGTGCTCACTGCAAGGACAGATCGTGAAGCTGAGGCTCCAATACTTTGGCCACCTCATGAGAAGAGAAGACTCCCAGGAGAAGACACTGATGCTGGGAAAGATGGAGGGTGCAAGGAGAAGGGGGCGACAGAGGACGAGATGGTTGGATAGTGTTTTCGAGGTTACCAGCATGAGTTTGACCAAACTGCGGGAGGCAGTGGAGGACAGAGGTGCCTGGCGTGCTCTGGTCCATGGGGTCACGAAGAGTCGGACACAACTAAACGACTAAACAACAACAACACTAGTCACTAAAAGAAAAGAATGAACCAGCTGCAATCCTACCTATGTCTACTCAGAAGTCCTTTTGAATTCAATGGGTTTACTAAGTGGTGTTAGGATTGTGGCTTTATTTCTGAATAGTTCTTATAGGCTTGCACTGAAGACCTCTCCCTCTCCAGTGTTCTTCTGAATACCAGTTGCTAGAAACCCCAGCAAAAAACGTTGTTGTCCTCAATCTAGGGGGGCTGTTCTTGTGGCTGCAATTCATCTGAAATGCAAAACATGCTGAACATGGAGGCAAGAGAAGCTCTTCCTTACATAGGAGGAATCTTCTAATTAAACAGCACAGTAACCTGGAAAATGACGTGGGACGCGGGTGGCATTGTGGGTTAAACCACAGAGCCTAGGACTTGCCGATCAGAAGGTCAGCGGTTCGAATCTCCGTGACGGGGTGAGCTCCCGTTGCTCGGTCCCTGCTCCTGCCAACCTAGCAGTTCAAAAGCACGTCAAAGTGCAAGTAGATAAATAGGTATCACTCCAGCGGGAAGGTAAACAGCGTTTCCGTGCGCTGCTCTGGTTCGGCAGAAGCGGCTTAATAATGCTGGCCACATAACCCGGAAGCTGTACGCTGGCTCCCTCGGCCAATATAGCGAGATGAGCTCCGCAACCCCAGAGTCAGCCACGACTGGACCTAATGGTCAGGGGTCCCTTTACCTTAACTTTTAACCTGGAAAATCAGCAGCGGCACAGTGCCAGTCACAAAGCACAGGCTTACACAGTTAAAGGGGTTTGAAAAAGCTATGGGAGAATAACACAGAAAAGAGTGGCATGCAAAGGCCTGACAGGCACCATAAAAAGTCAATGGCTACTCTAGGCTAACAGATCAATACTGTACATATCTACTCAGAAGTAAGCCCCGATGAGTTTAATGGAACGTAATCCCAGGTAACCAGGTACAGTGGTACCTTGGTTTAAGAACAGCTTAGTTTATGAACAACTTGGATTAAGAACGCTGCAAATCCGGAAGGAGGTGTTTTGGTTTGCGAACTTTGCCTTGGAAGCAGAAAATGTTCCACTTCCTGTTGAGTGTGTTCCATTTGTAAATTGAGTCCCCCGCTATGGGAAAGCATGCCTTGGTTTAAGAATGTTTTGGTTTAAGAACGGACTTCCAGAACGGATTAAGTTTGTAAATCAAGGTAACACTGTACTGTATACATTTCCACCCTAAGTAGCTTGTCCAAAGTTATCTGTTGATCCTCATACTGTGGGTTTGAATGAGATATTCCAAAACTAAGTACAATGCATTTGCCGTCAAACCGCAATTACACTACTAGGAGAATCTCTAACTTAACAGCTCTATCTATTTAAAATTCTGGTACCAAATATAATCCGTAGCATAAAACATTATCTGCCTGATCATTATAAGGTAAAGGTAAAGGTACCCCTGCCCATACGGGCCAGTCTTGACAGACTCTAGGGTTGTGCGCCCATCTCACTCAAGAGGCCGGGGGCCAGTGCTGTCCGGAGACACTTCCGGGTCACGTGGCCAGCATGACATCGCTGCTCTGGCGAGCCAGAGCCGCACACGAAAACGCCGTTTACCTTCCCGCTAGTAAGCGGTCCCTATTTATCTACTTGTACCCGGGAGTGCTTTCGAACTGCTAGGTTGGCAGGCGCTGGGACCGAACAACGGGAGCGCACCCCGCCGCGGGGATTCGAACCGCCAACCTTTCGATCGGCAAGCCCTAGGCGCTGAGGCTTTTACCCACAGCGCCACCCGCGTCCCCCCTGATCATTATAGATGTGAATTATTCCATATTCAAGTGTAACAACATAATTATTGTGGGTTGCTAGCCCTACTCAAGAGTAAAGCCATTGAAATTAATAGATGACTATCTTTGCTCCATTAATTTCAATGGGTCTATTCTAACTTACTTGGATACAATTTACTATTTTAAATGTTATTCTCTCCCTCCCCCCCTCCTTTCTCTTCCTGTAAAAATAGGGTCTGGTAAGGATCAAAATAAAGAAAAGGCTTTTTTTAAGCAAGAGGTTATTGTGGGAATATTGTGTGAGTAGCCAAGCACATAATCAAAATGAGAAAACAGAGTCCAAATAAAAACAAATCTATAAAAAACTAATATAATGAAGCCACTGAGAAATCAAAGAAAAGCCAAGATAAGACGTAACAGGGATTTGATGGGGCTTTTAATCTTTAACTCTGTGCTGGCTTCAGTAGTTTACAGCTGTCGCTGGTTCACCCAAACAAGTGTTTCCTTCTCTCTATGGGAGTCATGCCAAGCTAACATTTAACTGTGTTGTGCGTCAAGGGACGGCTTCAGTCCTCAAAGCTCAGCAGGCAGCAGTAAACAGGTGACTTTGCTCCCTCGGTAAATGTGGGAATAACTAACTTCATTTCTCTGTCCTAAAACCCCTCATCTTGTGCAGCAAGCGGAAACGGGTCAGGGAACATCCTTCAGACACTTTAGTGAAATGGGTCAAAACCTAGCGAGCGACAGTGTTATTATTTTACTAGTCAAACGTACGTAATGACGATAGAGGGGAGAGGGCCTGCAAGACCCACAGCCAAATAGTTAATGTTGCCAGGGATGTTAGTGATGTGTGTCTGTTTGTGAATCACTGTGGAACAAACAGCCAGAGCTTAAATACAGGTTGCCTAATAGAGTAAAGGAGGGTGATGCGTGAATCTATTAAACGGGCGTAAATTTTCATGAAAGAAACAATAATTTTGAGAGTATATTTTCTAGCAGGCACTATGGATATGTTCACATTACTGCCTTACTTCGGACTCAGCTACACTGGCAAAGAAAAATCGCTTTCTACATATTATGGACTGGTCATTTCTTCGTCAGAGGGCAAACGGGCAAATTTAGCAGGGGATCAAATACCTCCCCCCCTCACTGTATGTGTTTTTTATGCATTCTAACACTGTGACACCAGATGGCGAACCCGATCTCTCATACAAAGTTTGCAACGCGTTTAACTGCAACGCTTCTGTGATGTGTCTGGATCCAGCCTTAGAACGCAGTGAAGCTCTCCCACCCCCTGTGCAATTCACAGCTCATAGCTGTCAACTTACAGATTTGAAAATAAGGGGCCAGCAGCCTCGAAAATAAGGGATCAGCAGCCAAAATAAGGGATTTTGCTAAGCTTATACAGAAATCCGGCACTGATGGATCCATGCTGCTTTGCTGCCACTGACTGTGTTTTGCAGGGGGTTGGACTAGATGATCCTAAGGCTCTACAATTCCCACCAAAGAAGAGGGGCAGACAAAACTGATGAACGACGTTCAGATGGCAAAGCTTACAGGCAGAATTAGAAACCAGGAAGAGGACCTCTTTAATAAAGAATGGGGAAAGTTTATAATTTAGTTGAAAATCTATTATAAAGAGTTAAATACATTGGTAGGATTGACAGAAAACTTGTAGTAAAAATTTGAACTATGGATGGACAAATGATTTATAAAAATAGAGTTATAAAAGGGATGCAGAGGGGGAAATCACTACATTAAGATGCTGCACTGGTTGGAGGGGATGCTAAGCAGCACGTCGGGGCTGCCGTCGTCCTGGTGCGAGGAGTTCCATCGGCCCTTCCCCGCCCAAGAGAGAGGGAGGGAGGGAGACTCTCGCCCACGCCACCCGCAAGCCTGGCATGAGGCCAGTGAAGTGCCGCCCTTCTGCGTCCCTCCCCATCCCCTCCTCTTCCTCCTCCCTCAGGCCGCCTCTTCAGCCGCCGCCGCCTCCGGCTTCCCCTGGGAGCACGGCGGAAGTCTCGCAAGAGAGGGGCTGCCTGCCCACCCGCCACCACCCGTCTCCTCACGACGCGCCCCTGAGGGGGAAAAGGGAGAGACAGAGACGCGGCAGCTTGTGCGCGTGCTCTCTCTCATGGCGGAGGACACCGAGTCGCCGCTTCCCTCCCGAGCCGGGCGAGCATGAAACCCGGGAAATTTAAGGGACATCATCAATAAGGGACAGCAGCGGGACACGGCGCTGGGATAAGGGAGTTTCCCACCAAATAAGGGACGGTTGACAGCTATGTCACAGCTCTTTCTCCCACCCACCAGCTGTTCACATCAGCATGACTTCATTAGTGTCAGATTCACCTCTGTCTGTGTACCAAGGGGCATTGAGGGGGTGTCTTTACCCAATGCAGATGCTCACACCATGGCTAAAGATGAATTAGAAACAGCTTAAGGACTCCAATCCGTCTGTAGCTCTTTTGAGAAACAACACACCAAACAGTAGTATTTCAGAACAAAATACACTACATGCAAGCATTTTGGATAAGGTAACCTGTGAACTAGGATTAAAAACCCAGCACTAGAAAGTGAGGTGAGTGCACATTAAACCGGAGTATGAACACAGCCTCTGTTAAAGGAGTGTGGCAGTCTCTGCCTGGCTCCACAATGTCTCTGCCATTTCTTCTACAGAAGTAAATCCCAACAAGAAAAAGTGCTGAATTTTGGACAGCTCTGACATTGTCACCAATAGGAATCGTTCAGAGGATGCAGTATGTTTCTGTGCTTACAGGCTTGCAGGGGTATTTGGAATCAGCAAGTCTTTCCCACCCACCTAACCTGCCATATTGACAAGCATTATGGCCCTGTGAGCGGACCCACGAAAGCACACTTTGCCCAGGTCCTGTCAAACATGGAGTTGGGACTGTTTCTTTGTTGTTGTTGTTTAGTTGTTTAGCCGTGTCCGACTCTTCGTGACCCCCTGGACCAGAGCACGCCAGGCACTCCTGTCTTCCACTGCCTCCCAAAGTTTGGTCAGACTCATGTTCGTAGCTTCGAGAACACTATCCAACCATCTCGTCCTCTGTCATCCCCTTCTCCTTGTGCCCTCCATCTTTCCCAACATCAGGGTCTTTTCCAAGGAGTCTTCTCTTCTCATGAGGTGGCCAAAATATTGGAGCCTCAGCTTCACGATCTGTCCTTCCAGTGAGCACTCAGGGCTGATTTCCTTCAGAATGGATACGTTTGATCTTCTTGCCGTCCATGGGACTCTCAAGAGTCTCCTCCAGCACCATAATTCAAAAGCATCAATTCTTTGGCGATCAGCCTTCTTTATGGTCCAGCTCTCACTTCCATACATCACTACTGGGAAAACCATAGCTTTTACTATACAGACCTTTGTCGGCAAGGTGATGTCTCTGCTTTTTAAGATGCTGTCTAGGTTTGTCATTGCTTTTCTCCCAAGAAGCAGGCCTCTTTTAATTTCGTGGCTGTTTCTTATTGGGCTGTAAATCCCACTGGAAGCAATGGGACTAAATTTACAGCACAATCCTATGCATGTATCGCAGGGTTTTAGACCAGAACAGCCTCAGGGTCCCTTCCAACTCTACAGTTCTATGATTCTATGTCTACACAGCCGTAAGTCTCACTGAATTCACCAGGACTGAAGCCCATGTAAACGTGTACAGAATTGCAGTCTGAGTCGTGGCCAAACTTGTTCCACCGGTGCTAACGGGAGTTAGGGGGAAATTGTTGTTGTTTACATTATTTTAACTCCTTTGCTTGCTCTTACAGATGGTGTGGAGGGTATAATCATTATAATTACATAACTGCAATCAGTTCTAGAGATATCTACTCAGAAGTAAATTGAGGCTTAAGAACTGAGAGCTTTTCCAAATTAACCAATCTGGAGTAAAGGGATATGGTTCTAGTGAATACTGCATGGATACTTACTCATCTTTTATGTTTTTGAATTGCTTAGAAACATTACAGTGATTCTTTGGGCTTGGTCTGTTTTTGTATTCCATTGATTGTAACTAGCAAGCCATGTTGTCCAGGGAATGCTTTTGGAAATCAGAATTGCACAGCCTAATCATTGGTGTCCAAGGCAGCAAGATGCCGTTTTTAATTTTGTGCCTTTTGTTTCTTCCTTTAAGTAGATGGGGCTGGACTTGCAGCAGTCAAAATCAAAACAGTCTTTACATTAAAGTGTGAATTGTAAAGGTGAAAATCCACAATGATTTTAGCTTGGATAAAAATTGGGTTTTAACTTGGGTGGGTGATTTTTTATTTGGAGGGTGGGATTGTTTTACACCGTTTGTGAAATGTTACATGTTAATTTAGATTTCTGTTTTTGGGGCTGGAGTAATGTTTAGGGGCTTTTGTTGGGGAGTGTATTGTTTATTAGCGTTTTGATTGTTTTTATTATATTTTGATTGTTTTTGTTTTTATTATGTTTTTATTGTTCTCATTATGTATTTTGTGCTTTGATTATTTTTATAATGTATTTTGTCCTTCGTATACAGTGGTACCTTGGGTTACATACGCTTCAGGTTACAGACTCCGCTAACCCAGAAATAGTGCTTCAGGTTAAGAACTTTGCTTCAGGATAAGAACAGAAATCGTGCTCCGGCGGTGCAGCAGCAGCGGGAGGCCCCATTAGCTAAAGTGGTGCTTCAGGTTAAGAAGAGTTTCAGGTTAAGAACGGACCTCCGGAACGAATTAAGTACTTAACCCGAGGTACCACTGTATTGTAACTTTGTGTTGTGAACAGCCCTGAGACCTACAGTTGTAGGGCAATATACAAATTTAATAAATAATAATAATGTTTGTTACAGCTTGATTTGTGCATCCTTTCCCAACTATAATATAACAGCAGGGGTATTTTTGTTTGTTTGTTTGCTACTATCTGGGCATTTTCCCAAGGGGAACTCACAGGAACTCAGTCCCGGCACCTCTCAGGTGCATTCCAGCATGTTTTCAGGTGAGTTCCGGCACCTCTCAGGTGGCTGCAATTGTCATTCTAAGAGAAGGAGGGAAGTATTCAAGGTGAGTTCCAGCACCTCTTTTTCTTGAAAAATTGCACTGGCTAATATGCATTTCTGTGTTTTTTATGTTGTAAACTGCCCTGTGATGAAGGGTGTCAGAAAGTGTCTGGGCAGAAATCACTTGAATGTCCGGTAGGTATGGCAAGCCATGTTGGAAGTGTAAAGGTAAAGGGACCCCTGACCATTAGGTCCAGTCGTGACCGACTCTGGGGTTGTGGCGCTCGTCTCGCTTTATTGGCCGAGGGAGCCGGCATACAGCTTCCGGGTCATGTGGCCAGCATGACTAAGCCGCTTCTGGTGAACCAGAGCAGCGCACGGAAACGCCGTTTACCTTCCCACCGGAGCGGTACCTATTTATCTACTTGCATTTTGTCGTGCTTTTGAACTGCTAGGTTGGCAGGAGCAGGGACTGAGCAACGGGAGCTCACCCCATCGCGGGGATTTCGAACCACCGACCTTCTGATCGGCAAGTCCTAGGCTCTGTGGTTTAAACCCCTCTGTTTAACGTCCCTCTGTTGGAAGCGTAGATTTTTGCAAATTTCCTTATAAATAGCTCGACATTTCTATTTCTATTTCCAGATGCTGCAAAAAAAGCTCAACAACTTTGGGCAGAACTAAGAAAATCCCCCGTTATGAAGCATTCAGGTGGGACCGCCACCAAACCAACCCACCTGGAGAACAGGTGAGCAAGACGCGGCCTCCCTGGTCCACCCAGCAGCATCCTACCTGCTTGTAAGTAACTTTGGGTTGCCTTGAGTGAGATAAAGCGAAATAATAATCATAATTATGGTGGTGGTGGGGATGCCCAGCGGCCTCTAGAGGCGGCAGGATCCTGCAGCCCAACTGCGAAAGGGCCTCCTCCGTCCCGCCCCCGGGAAAGGTACGAAGATGGCCGCGCTCGCCGCCGACGCGGAGGCCGGGCTGGAGTCGGTGTTCCCGCAGGAGCTGGGGCTCTTTGCAGATGCTTTCCCGGTAGAGGCCCGTTACCGGTTCTGCGGGCACGAGCTGAGCATCGCGCAGCACCACGGCGCCCAGCTGGGGGTGGCTGCGCCGGTTTGGGAAGCGGTGAGTAGTCCGGGCGCAGCTGGATCCGTCCGGGGCCAGAGATTTGCACGAGGCTTGGAGTAAGGGCAGCCCTGTGCATGTCTACTTGGAAGTAAGCCTCGCGGAGTTGAGCAGGGCTTACTTCCAGGTAAGTGTGCATAGGGTTGCAGGCAGCTATTGCTTCAGGTAGATCTTGGCACATCCGTGCAGGAGTCTTCTTAAAACAGGTAGAAATCTTGCCCTTGCATATTTACGTTTTCCAAGTGGTCGCCTCTGGGCTTTTTTTTAATAGTACAGTATGCATCCAGGCTCAAGCAGTGATCTCCGCAGGAACTTTTCGGCGCATCTCTTGCACAAGCCTGCCCCAACGTGCCTGTTTCGAAAGGGGCGAAGCAGTCTGCACTGAAAATAGATCTAGGCAGGTTTTCCCAAACTTGGTTCGCCAGCAGTTTTGGGACTACAACTCCCAGCATCCCTAGCTAGCAGGACCAGTGGTCAGGGATGATGGGAGTTGTAGTCCAACAGCTGGAGACCCGGTTTTGGACACCCTGGTCTACGCTGTTGACTTTATGGGATCTAATCTGCACATGCAGTAGAATTATGAGTTGTTGCTATTGTTGTCAGCACATAATTACTATTACTATTCAAACTGAGCAGCCGACAAACAAATGCTGCCAGCCTCCTTCTTTTCCCTGCTCCTACTTTGCCTTCCTCTTAGCAAAGAAACTCTTAAAGCATCAAGAAAATGTAAGCCTGCAAGTTTTCCCTGCAAGTACAATAATTGCTGCTTGATGTTGACGGTTTGGACTATGGTGATCAGCGCTGTGGCACAAAGTAAAATGTTTAGACCAGCCTTTCTCAACCTCTCTGTGGCTCGGTCTACACCACAGTTTCCCAAACTTGGATCTTCAGATATTGATGGACTACAGCTCCCATCATCCCTAGCAAGCAGTGCCAGTGGGCAGGGATGATGGGAACTGTAGCCCAAAAACAGCTGGAGATGTTCAAGTTTGGGAAAGCCAGCAAGGAAATAAAGACTGGTGTATGTGCGTATGTATGTACAGTGGTACCTTGGGTTACATACGCTTCAGGTTACAGACTCCGCTAACCCAGAAATAGTGCTTCAGGTTAAGAACTGAATAAAAAGCCAACTGTATGAAAAGGAATTATTGCGAAAATGAGAATTTTTTTTTGGGGGGGTGCCAAATTTTGTCCTCGCTAAGGGTGCCATATCACCAAAGTCCACCCTTGACATGAGCATGAGATGGACCTGTGTTCAGTGCAGGCTGCTCTGCTGTTGAACTTCATCTTTTCCTTCCTCATTACAGCAGCATCTTAATCTCTAAATGTCAAATGCTTCACAGGTACAATTACAATTCTTCCCTACTCCACTGCATACATTGGCAGCCGTTGTGAAATCATCCCGTTGTCAGCAGGGACACTAATAATAATAATAATAATTTATTTAAACCCCGCCCATCTGGCTGGGCTTCCCCAGCCACTCTGGGCAGCTTCCAACAGAATATTAAAAATACAATAGTCCGTCAAACATTAAAAGCTTCCCTAAACAGGGCTGCCTTCAGATGTCTTCTAAAAGTCTGGTAGTTGTTCTCTTTGACATCTGGTGGGAGGGCGTTCCACAGGGCAGGTGCCACTACCGAGAAGGCCCTCTGCCTGGTTCCCTGTAACTTGGCTTCTCGCAGTGAGGGAAAAATCTCGCGGCACACCACCATTAAAGCCCCGCCCCGTGACGTCAGCGCGCAGCGTCACGCCGGGAGGGACGCACAAAAGTGAAAGTTTTTTCCCTCCCCCTTGCTGGGGAACCTCCAAGCTTTGGGGGTGGGAGGAGGCAGCAGAGCGAGGGACTGAGGGACGGCGGCAACTGAGGCGGCGGCGGCTGAGGCAGAGCTGGGAAGGGGGTTTCCAGGGGACACGGCAGCTCCTCGAAAGGCTTCTCTCAGCTGCGCTCAATCCGCCTCGGAAAGGATTTCCCCTCCGGTCCCATGCGTTCGTTTGGGGCATCGCTCCGGCTGCTCCCTCTCCCGCCGCGCAGGAGCGATGCCTCTCTCTGGCTCTCCCTCCGCGCAGGCTGAGGGAGGGAGGGAGGGGTGCGTGTGACCCGTCTCTGCTGGGAGACCAAACCCAGCGAGGCAGAGTCGCGCGGAGGCGCCCAGGCAGCGCTGCCGGCTGCGAGGAGGAGCGCCAGGCAGCAGCAGGAGGCGCGGCCTCTCCTCGCCGCCGCCGCCCCGCCTCTCGCCGCCCGACTCGCCCGCCTCCCTCCAGGCATCTCGCGGCACACGAGGCAACGTCTCACGGCACACTCGTGTGCCGCGGAACACCGGTTGGACCTGAGTGTCTGGGCTGAACGATGGGGGTGGAGACACTCCTTCAGGTATACTGGACCGAGGCCTACTAGTCCTATTGTCAAAGGTGGAATGGGAAAGTTTGCATCACCTACATAGATGTGCTTGGCATACTGAATGTATCCTTCACTCCTCATTTACTCTTCATTCTCTCTCTCTCTTCCCATGTCTAAGGCCCTAACCCTCTGCGAGTATTTTGAGGCACAGAAACTGAATTTCTGGGGCAAGAAGGTTATAGAACTGGGTGCTGGGACAGGCGTCGTGGGCATCCTTGCAGCCCTTCTTGGTATGTAGGATCACTTATTGATTATCTATTTGTTAAATTTATATACCACCCTTCATCCGAAGATCTCAGGGTTGATTCACAGCATAAAGATGCAAGATAAAGTCACAACACAAAATAAAAACAAAAGCAAAAGCAACCGATAATCCGCCCCTCTCCCACAAAACACATTTAAAAGGACATAGAAAGTTATTCAGCCGAAGGCCTGGTTCAAGAGGAGCGTTTTTGCATGGTGTCTAAAGTTGTACAGTGGTACCCCGCAAGACGAATGCCTCGCAAGACGGAAAACCCGCAAGACGAAAGGGTTTTCTGTTTTGGAGGCGCTTCGCAAGACGAATTTCCCTATGGGCTTGCTTCGCAAGACGAAAGCCCATAGGGAAATCTCCGGGGACCTGTTTTAAATTGCTGGCGGTCCTGGACCTCTTCTGAAGGCCGGCGGGGGGCAAAAGTCTTTGCTCCCCCCCCTGCCTGCCTTCCCGGGACAGCGGAGACTTCTCCGCTGCCCCGGGCGATTTTAAAATGCTGGCGGGCGGGAGCGAAGCGTTCGCTGCCGACCCCCAGCATTTTAAAATCTCCCCGGGACAGCGGAGGCTTCGCTCCCGCCCGCCAGCATTTTAAAATCGCCCCGGGACAGCGGAGGCTTCGCTCCCACCCGCCAGCATTTTAAAATCGCCCCGGGACAGCAGGGGCTTTTAAAATGCTGGCGGTCGGCAGCAAAGCCCTCCTGTCCCCGGAGCTTGCGGGGCGGGAGGTGGGAAGAAGGGCTTTTCTTCCCACCGCCAGCCTTCAGAACAGCCTTCTGAAGGCTGGCAGTGGGAAGAAAAGCCCTTGTCCCCCCCCCCAGCCTTCAGAAGAGGTCGGGGGACAGACTGTCCCCGGACCTGGTCTGAAGGCGGTTTCCCTAGGAACGCATTAATTGATTTTCAATGCATTCCTATGGGAAACCGTGCTTCGCAAGACGAAAAACTCGCAAGAAGAAAAAACTTGCGGAACGAATTAATTTCGTCTTGCGAGGCACCACTGTATAAGTGATGGTGGCAGGTGAACCTTGCTGGGGTGAGCATCCCACAAATGGGGAGCCACCATAGAAAAGGCCCCTTCTCATGTTGCCACCCTCTGGACCTCTTGTGGAGGAGGCACACGAAACAGGGCCTCAGGTGATGATTGCAGGGTCTGGTTTGGTTCATATGGGGAGAGGCGTTCTTTGAGGTATTGCAGTCCTGAGCTGTTTAAGGTTTCATAGGTCAAAACCATCACTTTGAATTAGTCCTGGGAACTACTTGGCAGCCAGGGCAGTTGGGCCAGGATTAGTGTAACGTGTTCAGACTGTCTTCCCCAGTGAGCATCCTGGCTGCGAAATTCTGCACCAGCTGAAGTTTCCAAACCATCTTCAGAGGCAGTACTACATATAACACATTAATCTAACCTTGAGATTACCAGAGCATAGACAACAGTAGTTAGGTTATCCCTGGCCAGATAGGAGTTCAGCTGGACCACCAGCCAAAGCTCCGGGCCACTGAGGCCACCTGAGCCTCGAGCAACATTATGAGTAAAGCATATGGTTGTTGTTGTTTAGTCGTTTAGTCGTGTCCGACTCTTCGTGACCCCCTGGACCAGAGCACGTCAGGCACTCCTGTCTTCCGCTGCCTCCCGCAGTTCGGTCAGACTCATGCTTGTAGCTTCGAGAACACTGTCCAACCATCTTGTCCTCTGTCGTCCCCTTCTCCTTGTGCCCTCAATCTTTTCCAACATCAGAGGTGGCCAAAGTATTGGAGCCTCAGCTTCACGATCTGTCCTTCTAGTGAGCACTCAGGGCTGATTTCCTTAAGAATGGAGAGGTTTGATCTTCTTGCAGTCCATGGGACTCTCAAGAGTCTCCTCCAGCACCATAATTCAAAAGTATCAATTCTTCGGCAATCAGCCTTCTTTATGGTCCAGCTCTCACTTCCATACATCACTACTGGGAAAACTCCATGTACAAAGCATATGGTACCAAACTGAATTTGTTGCTAACAGTTTCTTTTCCTTTCTTCCAGGCGGTGATGTGACCATCACAGATCTTCCTGTGGCCATGAAGCAGATAGAGGAGAATGTCCGCCGGAACATGCCTGCAGAATGCAGGACACGAACCAGAGTTTGTGCTCTGTCGTGGGGTGTGGACCACAAAGAGTTCCC